CATCAGGAGTCGGGTAGCTGGGTGGTACCGGGACTGATACGTTCTCATGTCCTGAAAGATGTCTCGTGGTTCAATCAGAAGCTGCCTGGATGCAGCACACCTAGAACTTCCTTCAGCCTCAAGCCGTCTTCCCCTGTCCTGCCGATCCAGCTCAGGCCGTGGCAAGGTGGAGGATGCCGAGGGCTGTGCCAAGGCCGCCGCCTGGCACGGCTGGGAGACAGAATCTATTGTACACTGTACACGAAAGCTTTCTAGCACGACTTTGGCCAATGTCATCGCGCAGCCGGCAGATGGGAAATCAGCTGTCTATTGACGACTGCACTCGAAACTGGCCGACCAGTTGGCGATTCCCTTGGAAACGAAATGGCATCATCGACAAAACCTCGAGAACGCCTCAGTTCGAGTTGGTGGCGGTTGCGCTGGCGGCGGCATGCGCTGCCTGAGCTCGGCATGTAATTACCCAGGTGTTGGCAGCACTGTTGACTCGTGATCTTCCTTCGAAGCAGATTGCTCATGCGCATGGAAACTGTGTGTGGGCGTTCTTCTGCCGGGAGGATGGCGCTGGTTCCACTTGCATACATGGTACGATTTAGAACATGCGACACGACATGTTTCATGGGCAATGCTGAGCATTCCGTAAGCCCATGCAGCTCAGCAGCCGCGACGCCGCAAGTGACTGTCCGGCAGCCGAAGCCTTTTGGGGAGCAGGGGTTGGGGTGGAGGGCTTTGGGTTCAGGCTCTGTGCGAAGATGATATTCGTGCTGAAGCCTGGCAAAGTCTTATGCGTACCAAATCCATGAACATCTCATGCGCAGTCATGCTTTAGGCCATTGTGGGACGTGCGCAGGGCGGGGCCTCCAGGTCTTGAAGCCGCTCGCGACGTGCCGCAGCCTCCGCATGGGGCGAGGCTGCGGAGGGCCAGGGCTGGACAGAGTTGCCGTGCAGAGTCCGCATGCAGAGCCCGAGCCGAGCCCCTGTCAGAGCTCCATTCGAGCTCACATCGACCACAAAGCGACCATCGAGGTCTGTGCACTCACTTCATGTCCATGGCAATCACGATTCTCAGCACGACCGGGCCAAGAAGTCAAGCACTGCTACTTGAATTGCTGCGCCTCGGCACGGTGTGCCTTTTCCTCCTCCTCCGCCGCACGGCGCTCCTGGCCAGGATCAGCACAGCACACGGTAATCGCGACACCCCCCAGACCAGCGGGGCATATCCATGAAAGCAAATACACACAACCGTGGCGAACTCTATTTAGGATTGCAAAGGAGTCTTGCAAGGAGTCTTGGCATGTTGCTCCGGGGGAGCCCCAATGAGACCATCGAAGCCATGTTTTGATGTGACCAGCCACATGAATCAGCAGCTGGGCAAATTGTTTCGGCTTTCACTAGCTCTAACTCTCGCCTCGCGATGCTGCTGCGCTGTGGCTTCGAAGTCCTCAGCCTGCAAGGTGGAGAGAAAGTGGCTACCACTTACCATGACTTCAAGACACTACACGGCTTGGGAGCTTGACTGCTGCCTTGTCGGCTCTTCGAGCTCCTATCGCTGCTCGAAGGCCGCAGCTAAACGACACATGGAACCCGAGCTGCAAGAATCACCAAAAAAAAATCGCAGGCTGAAAGCCGCACGTAGCAGGGCCGCAAACCGTTCGCGCCTCCGACAACGCAATCTCCACTTCAGCCTGCCGCCGTAAAGCAGGGCATGCAGGGCGAGGTCTGTGCACCCGACTGCTTCCATGCTTCAAGTACCAGTACTCAGACTCAGACTCAGCTCAGCTCTGCACGTGCTAATACATGCTAATACAACCACATGACCGTGATTTTCGGTAGTTCCTGTCGCAGCTAATGCCAGAGCTGCCAGAAGAGCAACATGATCCCCTTCACAGTGTGTAAGCTGGCTCAGCCTGGAGACGCTCATCCGTCTCTGCTGCCTCCGCACGTTCAGCGCCCAACTCCTGCCTCAGGCGCACCTGACGACGGCCAAAACTCCTCTCTCGAAAGCTCTGTCAGGAACTGTGACTTGTATACTGTAAGTGCCGAGGGGGGTGCAGCCGCACCTGCGGCATGGGCTGTAGTCGGCTTTAGGCTTCGTGCTCCGAGCGGTTGGTTCGGACATTCTCAGATATTAGCAACAGCTAGGGAAACGCATCGTTGAAGGTGTCAGACTGTCAAGGTGGTACAAAAGTTATAGAGTGAAACATCAACACAGAGGGACACCTCTGGGGGTTCATGATGCCTCAAGCCGTGACACAATGCCCCGCTTAATTTCGGTGACATTCGCAGAGTGCAATCTCGATGCCTGGCTCTCCTCACTCGCCCCGAGCTCTGCCGCAAGGCGCCGGTCGAGAGCCGTTGCTTGGCCCAGCTCGGCTTCGAACCCTCCGGTTACGAAGGATGGAGTATGGCATCAGCCTTGAGGTGTGACTTATGACTTCAGCTGCCAGCGTGGAGCATTCAAAGTCGAAATGACAGTCAGCTGCTTTGTCGCCCACCAGCCAACTAAACCCAGCTGCGTAGCCCCCGTTGAACTTCCAATCGTCGTCAACTCCCCTGCGCCTGCTGTGCAGAACGACCTCTTGCCTGGAGTCGTCAGACGACATGTTCAAAGTGCAAGAGGACTGCGGCATCAAAACTGCAATCGTTTGGGCCTGCGTGCAAGGAAAACAGAGGCGGAGTTGAAGCCTGAGACCCCCTCTCTCCCGAGACACCCGGCACCCCCACCCTCTCTGGGCCCAGCTGCTGCCGGAGGCGGCTCTCCGAGATCATTGCTTCTTGCTGCAGCTGGCTCTGCAAACCCAGGACCTGGGTCCGTGATGGTGGCGGTGGTGATGAGGCGAAGGATGACAGAGGACAGCGGCTACAGGTCAGCGATGGAGACTCTGAGACGGCAAGGGAACGTGAGGGAACGCGTCATGACCTTCACAGCACCATACAGTAGCGACATTCAGAACGAGAGCTAGGATGAGGACGAGACCAATACTGCACTGACAGTAAGTAACGGGAGAAGAAGACACGTAATGGAAGGAATTCTCCAACGCAGTTGTGATACTGACAACAACAACCGGGGTACTGAATAACAGCTGAGAATGTGCCTAAGTTCACCTCACTATCACTTGTGATGATGTCAAGGCTGCGTTCGGGGGCCAAGCAGAGCTCATCGGCCTGTGTTCACTTTAGCAATCGCATGAGGGCCGGTACAGTAATTACAGCTGCGACGCAAACTATCAGCAAATTACTCGACGCAATATCGCTACTCGCATAACTACTGCTATGACAGTGCTATGACTATCGTGCTGATGATTGCTGACTTTGTGGGGGGACAATGACCGAATATGACCGAGATACCTCGCGCTCCAAGGTCTCGCCACGGTCTTGGCCGGCAAAGAGGGCCCTCTCCTAGCATGCGAAACAATGAGTGAGGAGATGTGGGTAAAGTTCTAAGCTTCTCAAGTCGCGAGCCCACGACCGGAAAGGAACTCTGCCCAGTTCAGTCGTGCTTCCGCTGCACGGAGAGCGGATTCGAGGTGCTCCACACGGCTGCTGGCCTCTGGGCTGAGCTGAGCTATGTCACAACCGTCCGCTTGCAACTGATTCTGCGCCGGAAAGTGCAGCCATGGAGCATGCTTCGAGAAAGTATACAGCCGAGATGAAAGAGATTGAAGCTCCTGGAAGTCCTGGTGTAGCAGCAGCAGGCAGTCAATGTGCCCTCACTCTCCGCGCCTGGCTCTTAGCTCCTCCTCTTTCCTGCGGAGCTGTCGCTTGATGTTCTCGAACTCGGCATTCTTGATTTCCTGCCACGCCTGGAATACCTCGCGATGCTGTTCGATTCCGGAGAGCATGCAGGGGCATGGATATTTGCCAGATGAGAACCCAGACTCACCTGAAAAGAACTCGATGGTGCCTAGTCTAAGTTTCTACCTGTCTGGCTAGACCGTGCCGTGGCCTCCCACTCACCGAGAAGCCGGGTCACGAGCTGTCAGTCGTGACGAATAATCAAGGAAATGAAGCCACGTGGCAGAGGCAATCAAAAACCGAAAGTCGGAACCTTTTCCCGCCAAACTCCCATCTCGGCTCACCTTCCGCAGGGTGTCCGAGCCCACGCCGTACACTCGTTGTGCAGCCGCGGCCCTCGCCTTCCGTTGCCGAAGCACCTTCCAACACGATCCGAAAACCAGCTTCAAAAGACTCTGAACGGGTTGATGGATGGTGGAGGCACAGCGACTTTGGCAGGTATCTCGCAAGCTTTCCACCGCAATTCCTCGAAACCCAATGCAAATGACTCACGATTTGGAGCGTGGTGCTCCAGTTGCAGAGCTTTATTGCAGTGGAATCTTGTCTCAAGCACAATAACTTGCATGTCGTGCCCTTGTCTCTCGGGTGGGCCACCAGCGTTGCCCAGGCAGACACCAGCGGCTTCAGGAAGTCGACGCCGGCCTTCACTTCGGCTCACATTCACATCGGACGCAACAGCGGCGCGGTGGGCCCAGCCTTGCCCATCGACTCCGAAAGTTTCAGCGTGGCTGCAGCCCTGGCAAGGCGCGCCTGCGAGGTGAGGCAATGGAACTTGGATGAAGTGGGACGTGGGAGGACGTGGCAGCTACACTGGCTTGGCCAGTTCGGCAAACCTCACTGATCAGCCCTGCCTTCGACTTTGCAGCTTTCTCCATGCACTTCTCGTGCCGAGTCGAACCCACCCAACTGTGGAAGGTGTCCCCACTGTGTTCAGGTCACTAGATCAATTTTCGCTTATTTTTGATTCAAGATGTCAGGAGAACGGCAAGCAGAGGGATTTAGCGAGCAGACCGCGGGTGCTTGTGTCTCCTCCGTGCCTGGAGCGTTGAGTCCCTCTCGTCTCGGCTGACTCGCACGACGTCGAACCAAGCCCATAGGACCTTTCGGCCAGTCGGCCCACTGCAAGATTGTAGCCAAACGAGGTCCCACAGGCCCCCACTCCTGCAGACGTTACTTCTCCAAGCTGCCCAACTGCCCCAGAAGTCCAGCTCCATAGCACAGGCACGGTCCACCTGCACCTGGTTGGAAGGAAGACTCAAGCAGAGAAGCCGCCACTCTTGTAAAGTCGACCACAGCTCACCGTTTCAGCATTCATGCTGTTTTGTGACGGGCACCACCCCGGGTGCATCCCCGTGCCTTCAGCCACTCACGGCGCCGCGCAGCCTTGAGCTGTCGCCGTCAAAAATTCTCGCGATTATTAAGAGATCTTACTCCAGCAGGATGAGGTATTTCTCTGTGTCACACAAAGACCTGAGCTCCGCCCGGACCCCGCCTTGAGGCACTTGGCTCTTGCATTTTCCAGCTCCAGCTTTGTCTCATCCAAACGGTCAAGGGCATTGTTGTGCTTCACCTTAGCTGCTAGCTGAAGACTTGCCCAGCTCCTTTGCACAAGGCTGCAAGCTAACACTGACACTGCACCGCTTCGACCCCTTGCGCTGGACATCGGTTGTAGCGAATACAATGCCTCCGCACACTACACCGCATGGAAACTGCGAAAGTCGGAAACACTAATTACTGCCTTTGCTGACACGCCACCATGACCAGCACGTCAAACCAAGCCTTGAAGACCTGGGAAGTCGATAGTTTGGGCTTGACATGAAGACTGAAGGGACGCACAACCCCCGCACCTCCCTGAGCCGCCGTAGCCTGGACTTCTCCATCTCCTCTCGCTTTGCTCTCTATTCTGTGCTCAAGATCTGCAGGGGACTAGGGCTGTGGAAGGGGGTCAACCTAGGCACCGGGCGCTTGCGTCAAGACGTTACATGTCAGGCATCATGCACACCGCACGAGAAACTGCAAAGCGCTGGGCATAGCCGGGCACTGACAAGGACCTCCCAGTCGCACAGCGCCAAACACTCAGAGGTTCTCCACACTCAACTTGCAGCTCCATCGGTGTGCTGGAGGCGTATAGGGCATGAAGAAGCTTCACCCTCGAGGGCGAAGCACTGCCGAAGCACTGAGAACGCTCGCCTCCCCGCCCCAGCAACCAATGCAGGTCCAAAGTGTGAGCCCCTCCCGATCAATCAGACCCTCCTAATGGCTGTGGGTGATCGACTTCTGTCAGCCTATATTTTGCAGTCCACCTTTCAACGAACCAGCAGAGTAGCATGCAGCAGCCACAGTTTCCTCGCCTACATTGCAGTTGCGACAGACGAAAGAATATCTGCTTCGTGCTTGACAAGATCGAGCTGCAAACTCGTTTGGTGAGGACCTCTGCAGCCATGCATGGCTTCTAGACATCGTTTGCCCTCTGGTCCTTGGCAGCAACAAAGTTGTGCCAGCGAGTGAGCAGAAACTTCATCGCGATCCTTCAAAGCTCAGGAAATCGGATGTGGGGTCGGGGAACATGCATATACGTTTGCATTTGCTTTCGGCTCTATGTGTGTACATATACATACATTGACATATATATATATATGTATGCTAGCCCCCCCTCAATTGACCAACTCTGGCTTCCCACATGATGCCTGCTCAAGACAGTCTCTTCACAAGCAAACGCTTCAAGCACACTGCTCTCGCTGTGGCCTGTACAACACGTATTCGTGTTCTTCTAAACGCTCATCGGATGTGATTTTGTAGACCAAGCCACGGTAACATTCGACCCTATCACCTCAGGATGCTTGTTACGCGGTAAAAAAAGCTTTACGCTCGGAAAGAAGTGACCAATAAGACAAAGTCTTCCCGGAAAAAATGTTGAATATATGGCAGCAGCCGTTCGGTGGCATGTAGCCGATCAGCACTGGATGGTCCACTGGCGCGGTCGGGGGGCTGGTGTCATTCGGCGAGCGTCCCGCCAAGAAGGAGATGATCCGCGAGCGAATTTCCGGCGAGAATTTCAACCACGACATTGCGAGCGTACTAAGACCAGAAGGACAACACAAGGTTCACAGCAGCCTATACAACTGCGGGGATAATGTCAAGGCTTTGCGTGTGCGAACACATACAGCATGCTGTCGCCTTCTTTTGTGCAATACCTCTCACAGCATTACTCTCGTGTCTTCTACCAGAGTCTTATATTCGCATCAGAGCATCCAGTGCAATACATCAGTGATAGCATCAAGAACATTGAGCCTTGTTTTCTTGCGATGCGAGCACCCGTGTGATGGCAGTCAAAACGTGCAAGCACACTGCGACATTGTCGTCATTTTCAGTGCGACAGAAGATCCTTAATCATTTTTCCCGTCTTAGTCCACAGATTCTCGTGGCGGCACCAGTCAAGCCACTGTGCAAAGCGGATCTTACGGGTGAGAATGGGATTGCCGGGCTTACGTGTGGCGTAGCGGAGATACTCTCTCAGATGGCGCCAACATCTATCTATGATTTGTGTGGCCGCTTTCACCTTCAGCTTCTTGCTTGCCATCTGGCAATGTGACGTGATGCACCTTCGTGTACTGGGGCTTAAGCACCTGGCGCACGACACAACATGTATCCGTTTCGTGTATAGGAACCCTCCTCCCTTTACAGCGCCTTACCATGGATGACCTTTTTTTTCTTTTGGTGCACGGCATTGCAGTGGATCACCTGGTCAAATTTCATCTTGTGCGCCCGAGCGCCGTCGGTGTGGAGGATCACCTGCTTGCTTGCAAGAAGCTTTGTAGCAATGGGACGCCATTCCCTCTTGCGGATAGGGCCTGGGCCTGGAGCACGTGCCTTGGTGTTTTTGGGGTTTAGGCGGAATAGCCTCAAGGACTCCGGTCGGCCCCGCTCCACCAGGCCCCCCCACTGCTCCCAGACCGTTGTCAATCCGCTCTGTTGCGTGTCTCCATCAGTGATGAGGCCCTTACCGAGGTCCGCCTCATCGGCCTCGATGTCGTGCCAGTTGCCATAGGTGATGTTTTTCTCATGCCTCACAACGTGTCGAGCCCGTGCGGTGTCCAAGTTGCCGTAGATGCGTGCGACGGCTTTGTCGTCGACGTTCAGAAGGAGATGTGTGCCGGACTGGGGAATGCCGATTGTGGCGCAGAAGAGAATCACGGCCTGCATGTTCAAATCGATGCCCTTGCCCTTCGAGTGGTAGAAGATGGGATGGAAGCTGTGCGGCCAGCTGCGCTTCATGCAGGACTTCTTGGAGCAGCGGTAGACGTGTCCTTGCCATTGCTTGCAATAGTGGAGAGAGCCAATGCTCGCGGAACCACAATGAGGACATGCAGAAGGCTTCTGCAAGATGCCGTCTTTGGTAAGGAGACGAATGAGTGCCAATTGGGTTTTGTATAGGAACATCTGTAGACAGCGGCCCCATTTAGCGCACTCCCTGCGGATCTTCTGGCTTGGAATTCCATGACGCACATAACGGACGTTGGTGACGGCCTGCTTCTTCAAGATCGCTGATGGCTTCTTGAGTGCACGTGCTTTGCCGCGTTTGGGTGCTGCCTTGTAGAAGATGAAGAGGACCGTGCTGCCTTCATGATCTTATTCCCCATGTCGTCTGGCACAAATTGGTGGCCAAACTCAGATGGTCGAGATTTGATGCTGAAAATATATTCGCCTCGGCCCCGGCCGAAGCGGTCAGAGGTTCCTATTCGGATTCCCTCTATTCCCCACCTCTTAATCCCCTCCCCAGTGACCTCCACCCCTCAAACTTACCATCGTGCGAGGGGGGGGGTCCGTCTGTGTGAACCCATAAATGAGCCCCAAGGTCCGGCGGTAAAGTTTCGCCTCCTCCAATGGATTTGGGCAAAAACACCCCCCTCCTCCCCCCCCCCCC